CCTACTAGGAAGAAAAAAAAAAAAAAAAAAATGTGGACACTGAGGCTAAATAAAAGTACAAAGACTTGCTCAAGGTCACCTTGATAAAAAGTGACGGGGCCAAGATTTAGACCTGGGCTCTGTAGCCCTGAGTGTGCACTGAACCACCAATCCGCAGTTCTACTGGGTGCCCTTTGCTCTTTCCCCCGGATGCCTCAGGCCCAGTCAGAGGGCTATGGAGGGAGTTGTGTCCCCCACATTCTTACGTGGAAGCCCTGCTGTCAATGTAAGTGCTGTGAAAGCAGGGCTGTAACAGGTGATTAGGTTAGATGAGTCGCTAGGGTGGAGCCCTAATCTGATAGGACTGGTGGCCTCAGGAGCAGAGGACAAGAGGACTCTCCCTCCTCCTGCACGCATCAAGAAAAAGCCACATGAGGATGCAAGGAGAAGAGGATGGTCTGCAAGCCAGTGAGAGGCCTGCCCCAGAACCCACCACGCTGGCACCCTGATCGCAGACGCCCAGCCTCCGGAGCTGTGGGCAGATCAATCTCTGTTCTTTAACCCTCTGTCTGTGGGGCTTTGTTACAGCAGCCCAGCTGAGGGAAACAGCCACATGGTCTGCAAAGCTGTGGGATGTGAGCACAGGGCAGTGCGTTTGTGGCATCCAGACCCACACTGTGCAGTGGTGAAGTTCAGTGAACAGAAGCTTGTGACAGGCTCCTTTGACAACACTGTGCTTGCTGGGAACGGAGTTCTGGAACCAGGACCCAGCACTTTCACAGGCACACGCAGGCAGTGTTTAGTGTGGACTACAGTGATATCTTGGTGAGTGGCTCTGCAGCCTTCACTGTGAGAGGATGGACTCTATCCACCGGGGCATGCCTGAGCACACTCGCTGGGCACACGGCATGGGTCACCAAGGTAGTTCTGCAGAAGTGCAAAGTCAAGTCTCTTGCACGACCCTGAAGACCACATCCTCTTACGTGCAGGCAAATATGAGATTAAGATTTGGCCAAATGGGAGAGAAATCAGCTGCAAGCCTTAAAGCCATTGTCTTGTCTCCGAGGACAGAAGGATCCGCCTGCAGACAAGACTTCATGGTGATGGCAAATACACTGTCTGTAGTTCAGCACTCGGCCTCTGCCAGCGGGACTCTGCCAACAGTGACGATATTCTCAGGGTCATCACGACTCCTGAGATAGCAAACGTGGCCCTGCTTGACTTTGGAAATATTGTTGTCCTACTGTTTGACGGCTGCCACCTGTACATCACGGACTTGCAGACACAGAGCCTGATCAGTCGCTGGCCTCTTCCAGGGTACAAGAAATCAAAGACAGGCTCAAGCTTCCTGGCAGGTGATGCGTCCTGGCTGAACGGACCGGATGGGCACAATGACGTGGGCTGGGTCTTTGCCACCAGTATTCCTGACCACAGTATTCACCTGGTGTGGAAGGAACACAGCTGACACCATGAGCCGCCACCACGGACTGACTTTGGGTGCCAGGGCCGTGGGTTTTGGGTGCAACCTCTATGGCAGCTGACTGCTTGGACCAAAGTTCTCACCTAACGGTATCACTCAGTGCACATCATTTATCTGTGTTTGCCGGGAGGCCAGGGCTTGGGGTGGGGGAGAGCGTGTTTTATTGACACACATGTAGCATGTTAATGGGTACAGCATGGACTTCATTTGTACTTAGTTATGTTGGTGATTGTAAAAGGATCCATTTCGGGTCATCTTTCTTGGTGGAATACTGGTTTTATACAAAGAAAGTTAAATGATTTGTTAATCTGCCGGTTGATTGCCTGTGAAATCACATTGTCTGTTATTAAAGCTTTTCATCATAAAAAGAAAAAATCTCTGTTCTTTGACCCTCTGTCTGTGGGACTTTGCCACGGCAGCCCAGGGGAGGAAAACAGTCCCAGGGTCAGGGAACAACAGGACTTCTTCTCGGGGCAACCTTTTAAATGAAGTCCTGCACACTTTGTAAAAATTCTGTGCTACTTCATTGAGCCTGAACAGCGGTATCAGGATGCTGTAAGAGGGCCCTATGGCCTGTGGGTGGGTGACCCCGGCAGGCATTCTCCCTGACCAGGGAGGCTGGAAAGGTGGCTGCTTGTCCTGGTACAGCTCTGAGGAGGTCTGGCAATGTCTCTTCATCCAGACCCCGTTCCCTTTCTTCATCCTTGAAGTTCTAGCCAGGCTGCTCTTTTTTTGGGGGGGGATGGTGGGGGGCGGGGCAGGGATAGGGTCTCACTCTCTTGCCCAGGCTGGAGTGCAGTGGCACAATCCTAACTCACTGCATCCTTGACCTCCTGGGCTCAGGGGATCCTCCCACCTCAGCCTCCCGAGTAGCTAGAACCACAGGCGTGCACCACCATGCCTGGTTAATTTTTGTATTTTTTTGCAGAGGCGGGATCTTCTTTTCTTTTTGAGACAGAGTCTGGCTCTGTCGGCCAGGCTGGAGTGCAGTGGCCGGATCTCAGCTCATTGCAAGCTCCGCCTCCCGGGTTTACGCCATTCTCCTGCCTCAGCCTCCCGAGTAGCTGGGACTACAGGCGCTAGTTTTTTGTATTTTTTAGTAGAGATGGGGTTTCACCGTGTTAGCCAGGATGGTCTCGATCTCCTGACCTCATGATCCGCCGAGACAGGATCTTGCTATCTTGCTCAGGCTGGTCTCAAACTCCTGGGCTCAAGCGATCCTCCCACCTCAACCTCCCACAGTGCTGGGAGTACAGGCAGGAGCCACTGCGCCTGGCCTGCTTCCTTCTTGGCTGATGGGTCCACCAGCAGCACCAGTCCATGCGGAGGCAGCAGCACCGCTGGTGTTCGTGGCTGGAAAAGCTGGTCCCAGTGCAGTGGATCACGTGGCAGCTGAGCGCTGGAGAGCGCAGTGAGGAGGCCAGGGGCCAACGGAGAAGCCTGCAGGGAGGTGACCCTGGGTCTTGGTGACGGCCGGGGCCCACACGCATGCCCTGCTGCCTGAAGGAGCTCATGGCTCCCCTTGGGGGTGTGAGGGCGCATGGGAGCGCAGGCTGGGAGGGCTGAGTGCTTTGGGAGGCTTACTTCGCACACACACCCCAAGTTGCTCCACACAGGACATTCCGGAAGGGATCAGGTGGCCTTCCCAGGTACAGACCCCAAACTTTTCAACATCCCTGTGCCAGAGTCCATGCTAGGTGCACCGGTTCACCCACAAAACACGCTCCCAACAAAAGAGAGGGTGGAATATGTCTAACATCCCAATCCTGGCATCGGAAGCTTTGAGTCCAACCATTAAACGAACCCCAGGAACGTAGAGCTTTAAATTAATTTTGCAGTTAGAATGGTCTGGTTGTTAGATGTGGGGTCTAGTCTGGAGGCTCTACGGAATGGCCCGGCTCTGGGGTTAGAAGTATGGACACAAGATGAAGGCAGCAGCTGGGATTTTAGTTTCCTGTGTGCTTGTCAACGGCAGCACCTGCTGCTGAATCACAGACACGGTGTGAAGGCTGCACGGGTTTTCTAGGCCACAGGCGTCTGAGCGGTATGGCCATGGGGCTGCGCCGCCTCTTTGCCTCTCTTCTCATCTGTGCGAGGTGCATTTGGCCTTCTGCCCCTGCACAGGGCTGAGTAAGTTACGGTGAATGTTCCCTCCTTCCTCCATCCTTGTTTCTGGGCCCCTCTGCTGCCTACTCTCCTTCTTCTCCTCTCCTCGGCCACCCCCTCCCAGTCTCCTTACATCTGCTCAGACTTTCATGTTGGGGTTCTTGGGGCTCCATCCTCACTGTCTGTCCACACTCTCAGCCCCAGTGAGCTCCTGTGTTCCACCTCTTTAAACACCACCATGGTGATCCCACCTCAGCTTTCTCTCCCACCCTGGCCTCTTCCCTCAACTCCAGGCTCATGAATCATGAAGCCTCTGCTTTCCTGCATCCAAACCTGAACTTTGGCTTCTGCCCTCCTTGACCTGCTCAGCTCTGTCTCTGGTTCTCATATTCTCAGGGAATGCCCCAGCAGCAATGCCATTCTCCACGCCTCCAAGAGCCCAATCTCCATCAGCCTAAAATCCTGCCACCCCCCTCCCCTTCTCCTCCAGCCCCCTGCTCACAGGTGTGTGCACCTCCCGCCTACAGGTGAGGACCCCCTGCCAGTCCCCCAGCTGCTGCCCCCGCTTCCTGATGGTCTGTCCTCCAGGCAGGGGCAGTGGCTGCCTTGGTCATGCCAAGCAGGAGGCTGCTGAGTGCTGGGAGCCGTCAGGCTCATCCTGAACAGGGAAGGGCCCATCCACCTCCCAAACCCAGTTTACGCAGTCCTTTGCAATGTCAGGCTCAGGGCCTGGCACCAGCTAAGCTCCCCACCCTTCCCACTGTTAAATGGATAGGAGCAGCGCTAGACCCACCCTTCCCACTGTTAAATGGATAGGAGCAGCGCTAGACCCA